CTGATCATGTTCTCCCCCTCCCACAATAAATTAGAAAGAATGTTTTTGCTCAAAACCCGACAGGTCGCTGCAGAACATTTGGGAGCTTGTTAAGCCACATTTGCGATGTGGAAGTCTTCCTCCATAACCTGATTGACAAAAACTAAAATCTGAACCACCATGATGCTGCCCTAAACCTCTAGTTTTTTTTTTTTTTTCGTTTGTTTGTTTTGTATGTAAGATTGAGATATTTTCTATTTCTAGAGTTTAATTTTGCTGTCAGAGAAGTCGAGGAACCTTGTTGAAACGTAGAGGGAGACATGAGTCAGATGCGTTTGGAGGCTGTTCAAAAGAGCTCCAACAGCATTTATACTCCTATACCACTATACTTGTATTCAATTAGTTCTGTCTTAAAATATGTATTTTCTTTTTAGTAACTCTTATTTTTAGAGAAAATCTCCTCTGGGAAGGAAGCAGAAACCTGAGGTCTTGTGCTTTGCTTCTCATGGGAGTCGTTCATAACCTGGAGTAAGCCCTTAAATGTTTTTATTGTTGCCTATAGTTCTTTTGAACACATCCTGAGACAATGCAATGCTTTGTAGTTATTACAAAAAGCACCTTTTTTAGAGGTTTGACTAGTGCTCCAAATCTTTAGAAATAGTAATGGTGTTGAAAATGACTGGGGTGATTTTATAACAAAGTAAAGAGAAATTAGTTTTATTTTCTTAGCTGTTTGGCTTGGTTTATAGATCAGCACCTGCTGCTTAGCCTTCAACAATTCATTTCTCATCCGATTCCTGCCATTAACTCTAGTTTACTGTCTTTGCTTTCAACAAGACAATCAGCTGCACAGCATATCAGATCAGACTATTCTCTACATTGATACAGGTACATCTCAGTAAATTAGTGCATCACTGAAAAGTTCATTTATTTCAGCAATTCACTTCAAAATGTGAGACAGTAACAAGCTTAATGTGTTTATGTTACTTTCGTTGATTACATTAGGAAAATCCTAACTTAGTCTATTGAAAAATCAGCATATTAAATAGATGAATAAAAATAGGAGCATTAATAGAGAAATGTTATGTTATTTTTTTTACACTATTGGGGGGAAGCAGACATCCGCTGAGATCCACAAGGACTCTATGCCACAAATGGTCGGTTTTAAATAAGCTGGCTCGCCACAGAGAGCCAGGGAGAATATTGATAGAAAATTGAGTGAAAGGAAAAACTGCACAAGTCATACGGATACATTTTTGAGAAGCTTGGGTTTGAATTAACTGTAAAGCATATTCAGCTAAATTAACTGAAAATTTGATTTCATCTATTGTTTAATAAATCTAAATTATTTATTATTATTATTTTTAAATAATTTTCTTAATGATATTCTAATTTATTGAGATTCCCTTGTATTCTAATGCACTAATACATTTGCATACCATCTCTTTAAATATTTTTAACCCATTCAACCACTGACTCCTTGTTGAATGCAGGCTTAACGTCATTGTCTCCTCTTTTACGTTTCAAACTCCTTTTTTGTCATTCTAACTCGAAGCTGTTATTTATTGCTATATATTTTTCTATTTGTTACAGTTGTTTTTTAAAATACAAAGGTGGTACAGTCGGTATTTCACTGTAGCATAGATAACACAAGCTTGCCAGTTATTACACCTAAATTCACTTTTTTTTGTTTCCCCTTGTACAAAAAATATTTTGGAAAATATTAACTAATATAAGAAAAAATAAAAGGTAAAAAAAATAAAATAAAATACTGCACACTGCTTTCTCAAAGAGGGTCTTGTTTTACTGATATGCCATTTAAGAAAAAAAATATTTAACTTTTATTTTGTGCCAATATTTTATTTTATTTTATTCTTTTCATCCTTACCCAATGTCCTTACCTGTAATAAGAATTTCTGGTTTATTGCTGTTTACAAACATATATTTATTGTGCTGTATATAATATATAATTATTAATGTTATTACTATCATAATGCAGTTTGCTGTAAATGGTTGATTCTTATCATCCCTTTTGGTGATGGTGTGGCTGTATTATGTACCTCTTGTTGAGAGAATGTTTATTAACACGAGCTTCGGTGTAAAAAGAAAAAAAAAAGAAAAGAAAAAGCTCCATCGACTTGTTGCTCACTTGAGAACTAGCTCAGAAAGGAGAGAGAGAGAGAGAAAGAGTGAGAGGGGAAAGCCAAATTGTTTTTTTTTAAAAGAAGCTGTTCCTTGGCCCATGGGCTGTGCCTTAAAATTTAACACATCATACACTTTTTAGCCTTTTAAATTTTTTTATTCTCTGGTTCTCCTTTGCTGCATTTGGTGAATCGCTTGGCTTTGGTTGGCCTGAAGACTTTTTTTCATTAGTCACCATTAGGGGCAGAGGTTTTGTTGAGGCATTCAGGTTAACCACAAGCCATACATTCACTGCATGAGTGATTGTGGCCTGTAGCTGGATGTCAAAGACTCGTATTTTGCTGTAGACCTGGTCTGAACGGCTCACACTGTACCTACGCTCTGCCTCTACGCTCAAAAGACGAGACTCAAGCTGTCGAGTGACGCTGCGTACCGTCAGATTTCTGATTGAATCACAGCTTAAATTTTTACCAAACACTGAATGGGGCGTTACAGCAGTGTGTAGTTGGTGCTCGACTACGGCCATCCAAAGCACAGAGGGTTTGGGACACATCTGCACGTTCAGCCACCGCTGCATTAATTCTGGCTGAAACACTTGACGATGTGTTGCTCATCCATGCTCGGCTCACACTTCCACTCACGTGACCTGCAATATCCAGAACCACTGACATGTTTCTGCCTGGACAGAAGAGGGGTCTGCTATATTTCTGTACTGGAGAAAATGGGTGGGGGGAAGGGGGGGACTGCATCATTGTCCTGAAAGCAGGACTCTTATTTTGACACACATACTGTAGATTTTAAACAGCCCTGGACCAATGGAAATAGTGGGTTCTTTTCTCATTATGTGTTCTATTTTTTTAAGGTGTGCAAGGAAAACACAAACTGTAATTTCAGAAAACAAGAAATGGTCTTCAGGACAATTATTTTTTTGGGTTATGTCTTTAGAATGCCAACTTGTCTGGACGTTTCACAGGACAATTAAATTGTTATTTTAATGGATTCCTTGTTAATCGCAGTCTATTGGATAGCACTGTAGATCATACGACTTTATCTACAAAACAAACAAAAAAAGAATGAAAAAAGTTTTTATATGCAATGGAATAAATAAAAGCATGGGTTGATTCTGCCTACTCACTGGTTCCTTGTTGTTGTTTCAAATATTTTTTATTTTATTTGAGGCCGTCTGAGACACAGGAGCAAATTTCTGTATCAATTCAAGAGATGTCTTATGTATAAATATGTAAGTTTAGTTGGACTTCTTTTTGTAACTTTAAACATGTTTTCTTCAAGTTTACACTTTATAAGAATTAGATTTATTATATGAATACAAGAGATGCATAACAAACCTTTAACCCTAAAGGGTCTGCAGGTTATGATTACATTTGATAAAGTAAGAACTAGATGCAGCAGCCAGATTTTTATTGTCACTGAGTTCTGATTGTCCATTTTGGCGGACTCATTTTCTGTTTATGACCATAACAAACATTGGCATTAATAAAACAGATGTGCTGGAGGTTCTTTCGTAGAGTTGGAGAGCTTAAATCCGACAGTATATGAGGGACATTTTCTGGATTTATGCACCAAAGCATGCGCCCTCACCTTTATCTGGTTGAACTAAACTCTCACAGTGTCTGCTGATGCTTTTATGAAGTGAAATCATACTGTGAGTTTTTAGTTATTATTCATTTCATGAACAAGAAATCCTATCGTAGTTTTTAGTATTTAAGTGGCAGATAAGAGTGGATTAATAAAGAAAAAAAAACAGAGGGCAGTGGTGTGCAAACCTTTTGCAACAGTGACAAAAAGTGCCAAGCCAAAATGCTCCAGCCAAAATGCACTTTTTTTAGGAGCTTTTTTTTGTAGCCAGCAACAAGATTCCGCCATGCTTCTGACTGGATACTTGATCACTCTGGTCAGAAATGTTAGAGCAATGCCACCCCCATCAGGCTTGGTAGTCTGTACTTTTTATTTTTGGTTTGGAAGCTTAATTTTCCCAGACTTTATTATTATTTTGACCAAAATCTTTGTTGCTGGTGAACATGAAAAATCTTTTGAAGGCGGGTGCTGAAGCATCGCCCATGTATGACGGCCATAGTCCTCTACGTTGCCGTCACAGGTTTGAGTCCCAGTCTGATAACTCAAACGATTGTTTGTGTTGACGGCTGCATACTTTAGTCCAACTTGAAAGAGTAGGTATCTGGAGCAGGGGCCTATTTCTTTGATGTAAAGCATAGAAAATATGCTTTATTGTGAACTGTGAGAGGAGTGTATCAGTATCTTGTTGCTTTTGATTGGATTGAACCTGGTTGTTTCTGAGCACCTTAACCACTTTGGTGTCACCTGAGGAGAAACACTTTGAGTCTGGTGGGAAAATCTTTAGATGGCCTGTTCCAATAGTTTTGTCATAAAGACATGAACATGTTTTAGAATGGATAATAGATAATACATTAAGCTTCCTAAATTACTTCCCCACAGCCCTTTCCTTAAAGATCAGAGGATTAGGTTACCAGGAAATCAACCAATTTTAATGAGCTCTTCCAACTTAGAGAATAACCAGTTATAAGTAGAAGATGCCAGAAGCTAGCTGAAGGTTACAAAAAGTGATTTTTTTTCATATATCAGTGTATGCGTATGCGTGTATTTGAGCTTGTGTTATAATTTTGGCTGATGAAAACGTCTGACAGATAGAGCAAATATAAGAGATTGTAGAGATCTCATTTTAACACTAGGAGGCGCACTTTGTCTTGCAAAAAGGCCACTTCCACTGCATCAACTGAATAAAGCTGCTGAGACAGAGGCCTGCACACTGTTCGCCAGCCTCCAGCGCCCCCTATCCTACTTCATCACAATCAGTGAAGACAGATAAAACAGAGACCCCGTCATAGAATCTGAATTTATTTCCTATAATCTCAAAAACATACAATTTCATTTTTGCTTGCACTCCAAGAAATATATTCAGTTATATGTAAAGGTTTCTAAAATGAGATTTTATTTATCTGATTGGCTGTTTTTCTCTATGAAATGAATCCTTTCTAGGGATCTACTATAATTTATTCCAACATGTTATATTATAAGACATGTACACATATGTTAACAAACACACTTTGTGTGCAAGTTTAAGTGTATCCCTTTTTCTTGTGTTAACAGTACAGCATATGGCATGGACTAGGTTATCTCCCTGACTATTTGCACAACAACACTGCATTTTAACGTAACAGGAGTTCAGTCAACACCCAACAGTTAGCAGGAACAGCATACAGTACGCAAATACAATTGTACAAAAAGGTATACACAAACAATACACTGTAGAACTCTAATTCGTCTCTTCAATATGGCAGACAGACATATACATACACACACGCACGCGCACGCATCCACACACTAAAAGTAAATATAAAAGGTCTACACCCCTGTTAAAGTGGGAGGTTTTTGTGATGTAAAAGAATGAATTCAAGATAGATAATTTCAGAATGTTTACCCCTGTAATGTGACCTCTAACCTTTAAAACCATATTAAGAGGACTATATGAAGTGTAAAGAAAAAGCTAAAGAACTGTCTTCTCTGCATGTAGCAATACAGAGACATGGGATAGGGTGGCAGGACATAAAGCATTTTTTTAATCATCCCAGTCAATATAAATTTAGTAAAAAAAAAAAAAAAGAAAGAAAAAAAAAGTCCCCAAAAATATGTTGGAAAATGTGTTGTGATCTTTTGGTTGAACTTTCTGTTTGGCACAAAATATCAATGTACATCACCAAAGTAAGATACCCACAGTAGGGCATGGTGGTGGCAGCACAATGCTTTGGGGGTGTTTGTTTTCAGCTGAAACTGGTGGAACGCACCGAAAGGATTTATCTTGATCTCATCTTCTCACAGATCAAAAATCAGACGTTTTAAACAGGGTCTGAAGTCTTTTATGTCCACCATACACATTACACCAAACGTTCAGTGACTGCAGGTTGTCAGTGAAGCTCCCACCCCTTTCAGAAAGCGCACAGCATGTTCAAAACTACGCCTTCCTATTTTCTCTCGCAAAAACTGCAGATGGAGCTGTTGGACAAGATGACAGAAGGAAACTATTTACAGGGTTTCATCCATAAAATATTGCACTTGTTGGCCCATTGCATTTCACAGCGAGTGCCATGACAATGCTCCTAAATGTGTAAGACAGAGTGATATTTACAGTGTCTCAGACTCAGAGTATAATTCTACACCGATACGTCAGGACTGACTTCATGCATTTTTTTTTTTTTTTTTTTTTTTTTTTTACATTTTTGTAGTTTTGTTTCTCTATGCAACAAGCAACCAACAATGTTAAAACCCCTTAACTGTCATGAGGACACCAGCCTCCTCACAGACTCACTGACTTATATGTAAGTATTTTGAGCGTGACAGTTAAGAGGTTGGTTGAACCGTGATGTTTTTGGCACTTTTTTATGAATTTATGAGATGAACTCGAAACTTTGAATTTTTGGACTACTTACGACTTTTAAACGGCACAGATTTATTAAAGACAAAGGTGGTGTTTATTTACGAAGTTTCTTTTTTAAGCAACATACATCTTGCTTTCCTCTTTTTAAAGAAGGGGTTCAATTTTACAGCACAAGTCATGCTGAATAAGAAATTATGGCTGTTTATTCCATGCCAGGACGCATCATCTGCTTTTTATCAGAATGCTTTACTGTGCTTCGATGTAATGGAGTTGAGGGCGAGGAGCTTTGGGTAAGGCCTATCTTCAGATAAAACAGCACACATGTTTGACCTTTTGGCAGCATGCTCTTTGCATCAAACATTTAAAGGCTGAAGATAATGATGGAGTTGCTTTTCAGATACTTACTGAAGAATTCACACATCTACATACAGGGTGAAACTGTACTCCCATCAGTTACACAGACTCAATTCATTCCAACAGGAAGCAGGACTTACAGAGGGACTTACAGAGGCCGAGTTGGAGATACTGAAAGGCCACTTTTTTTCCCCAAAAGGTAGTTGATTAATCGATGGCAACATGACATGACACACTCATGCAAATCCACGCTCACTTACTGCACAGTCACAGCCAGAGGCTTATTATTACAGTCGTTACACAAAAGGAAAGCCGCTACATCGCCTAGTGCGCTAAATCCTAGATTTGGCCGCTCTAGGAGTCAAAATTACCCAGAAAAAAAGGACGACTTACACCATACAGAAAACTTCATAGACATATTAAAGCACTCACTGATTCTATTTCTTGTATAGGTATTCATAAAGATATTAAAGGTCTGAAGGACAACCTCTGTAAGTTTAAGTGTTGAACTATTTCAAGTCCTGCCAGACAGGATTGGTTTATTATCAAACTAACTAGCTGAAGGACGCTGATTCCCTATAGTCTAGATAACCTGTGGTGTTATATGTTTTTACATTTGTAATGACTGTACTTGCTTATTATATAAGGTGATAACGTTTGGGAGATAAAGCAGCAGCCTTTGCAATTTTTACTACTAAACAGGCTTTGAACTGCAGTCCGGTGAGGGCGATTCTGGCAGAGCGAGGACTTCCTGCACTCTCCTGCCCTGACAGCTTTCCACTGCCGTCCACTAACAGTTGCATCCAGGCTGCTGGAGGGGCGGAGCGCTGTCTGTCAGTTTGGCGGTGGGGGCTCCCGTGGTGACAGCCGGATCAGTGTCCAAGCTCTCAGACATCTTGTCACAAATTAGGTCGACGAGACGTTCAAAGGTCTGCTTGACGTTGATGTTGTCTTTTGCGCTCGTCTCAAAGAACTCAAAACCTACAGGAAAGAAAACAAAGAGTTATCTGCACTTTACAGACTTTTATTGGAAGCTGAAAACCACTGATCATCTTTCTCTCAGCATCTTAAAGTATAAATTGTACGTTTCTGTAGGTTTGTCCAATGGATATCTAATAATGTACAGTAAGGTTTGTTATTGTAACACGGCAGAATGTGAGAAAGTTCAAGACGGACGTAGACTTCTGCAGGGTGGTGCGTACAGTTTGTATGCAACTCTTTCATTGTATTGCTTAATAATTTAAAATACCTGTTGCTGGGGATGTTGTTGTACAACCTACCCAATTGTTCAGCCAGCAGGCGGCCACTATCCACCGAGACCACTCTCTCTTCCTCCATATCGCACTTATTTCCAGCTAGCACTACCTGAGCATTATCCCAAGAGTAGGTTTTTATCTGGGTCGACCTGCACAGAATCAGAAGCAAACACACGGAGAGACCAATCATCTTCATGGGGTCTGCTGCAAGAGCAACAGACAGATCTGTGTTGTTTTGCCTATGTTTGTTTGACACGACTCTTCAAAAATGGAAAGATGGAGGAAGAAGGCATCTGATGTAATGTTTGTCTGCCATTTGGAGCGGTCGTGAACAGCGACTGCGTTCATGTTCTTTGGCTCATCCCGTTTTGTGAGTCACTGACGGCATTATCAGAAAAGTGGGTCAATTTCAAATATGTGAAGGAAAAATATGCTGTCACGTCTTGTTCAAATATAGGTCATTATTTACTTGGTGCGCATTACACACTTTTTAGGATAAGGTATTAACAAACAATGTGCAAATGGAATTCACCATAATCACCAACTCTAATCATCATTCATATAATTAACATCCTCATTTTTATCAAATGGCATAATTCTCATCATTTTACATTATGCTCCCTCTGCATCATCATAATATTATTTAATCCTCCTTACCATCCTGGTGCCAATCATCAACACCATCATCATCACCATCATCATCATACTCAGTCTAATAATAATGGTAACCATCCTCATTCATGTCCAGAATTTATGTGAAAAAATACTCCCTTATGTGTATTGGATTAACTATAAATGTGTAAAATGACGTTAGTATCAAAAAAAAAGAAAATTAGTTTGTCAAAAAGATATTTTAGACTCTAATTATTGTTAAAAGGAGCACTTTATATCGAATGTGAAGATTTTAATATTAACACTCAAAACTTGCTCATGCTGAAGTATTAACACCATTCATTTTAAAATGATTTTTCTGCGTGGAACAAAATTTTAATTACTGTTGTTTTAATAGTTGTTTTTATATTTAAAAAATGCCTCAGTTAACAGTTATTATTAAAGATCTGCTCTACTCTAACCTCTCTGAACTCTGGAAAATAAGCAGGAATTTAAGGAACATGTTGCTGCAGGGTTTGCACTCTTACTGAAAGTAGGGCAGCAAACACACCATGAGCAGAAAACAGGAGTGAGAGAAGCCGGAGACAAAATGAAAGAGTAACAAAGAGAGATGGCATCAAGATGATAGAGCTTGTCCTCTCACTGCTGGTTCACAAGTAGAAAGCAAAATCTGAAATGACTGTTTATTAATTTCTTTTCAATCAAACATTTAGATTCAGTGTTACAGTATTTCTCTGGGTTGTCTCTGACTCAGGCATGAAATGAGCTTGTCAAAAGACTAACTGAGAGACAGTTTAGGATGGAGCCATCGCCATGGTAACCTCCTTTCCCCCCCTTCAACCTTGTCACAAGGAACAAGAGAAAGTAGAATTAAAGCTGGCGGCAAAGACAAAAGAGGAGCGCTCCATTTATGTATTTTACTCCACTGTCCTCTTTCTGCTAAGTAAGCTCTCAGGTAACCCAGGCCTGTTGTAAGCACGGCTCCCTTTCATCGGACAGCCATCACAGTCGGCGCTCAGACTGCAGCAAACCTTCAAAGAGTCAGAGGGTCCTGAAGCAATCGCAAGTGGACCAACAGAAAGCCTGCCTGGTTCACAGGGATTTGATTAAAATCTGGCTGCTTATATTAGGGTCAAACATGAAATACAGATAATAAGACTGCCAAGATTTGATTTATTTTGAAAAAATACCACAGCTTTCATGTGAACATGTGTACTCTTAAGTAGCTGTAAAATTGACTAATCTAAAAGTGAGAAAGTGAGGTGAGGCATTGAATCTAGTGTGATGGTCTTTCGGAAGATATTTCATAGTTCATGGCTGTTTATTTTTTCTTTCTCTAATTCTCCGTCTAGTCCTTATAACTAAGCATGACAGTATATTTTATGTTGTAGATCTGAGAAGTAGAGGAAAAAATATCATATTTTGTCATGTTATAATGTCCTGAATTAGGGAATAGACTCCAGCAACTTTAATTAGAGAGAACAGCCAAGAAACCCATAGTAATTCTGGAGGAACTGCATTAATATTTAAAACAGTGTGGTGGAAAATGTGTTGACATAGCAACCATTAATGCAAGCCACAAATTACCAATTTAGTCCAAGTGGAAGAGCGATAAGGATGGACTGAGGTGCTCTGGTCAAATGAGACCAAAATCAGCCATTTTGGTCTGCATGAAAAAGTTATGTTTTCAGGAAAACTAACACTGAGGACCAGATCACAGCAACCATGTGGTGACAGACACATAGTGTGGGCAGCATCATGCTATGGTGATGCTTCTCTTCAGTAGGACAGGAAATAGCTGATTGAAATATCAGCTCTAACATATTTCAATCAGAAATATTGAAATATTTCAGGGAAATACTTGGGGGGGAAAAACTGAAAAAGATATGAGACTGGGGCAGAAGCAGGATAACAGCCATAAACAAACAACTGGAGCAACAATGAAATGGTTTAGTTCAAAGTGTTGTCTCAATCAGACTGCATACATAAAGCAATAGACAGGCTGGCATAAGACATGGAAATGAATGCTTACAGACATTTCCCATGCACTCATAAGGTATGTTTTAATACAGAAAGGGCAAAAGTGTCTGTAATTTACAGATTATCATGTGAAAACCACATGACCTTTCATCCTCCACTGAACAATACTTTCTGTTGGTCAATCACATGATATCTGAAAGTAAAACATTTGTAATTTATTCATAGTTTTCATAGGCAATGTATCTGACGGGACATTTGAGATTAATAATTGTTGAGTTTGTCTTTGACTCTGTACTGATTTTCAAGCCAGTCTTTGGAGATCACATCTATATCAGAACACCATTTTGTGTTTGACAAACTTGTATTTCTCACAGCTTTATCTAAAGAAATAACAGATTTTGTGTGAGGAACAGCGTAATAATAAAGAGTTTAAAGTTCTACATTTTGAAGGCATAGATAAATGTTTCATAGAAAACTCCAGGACAAGTTAAAACTTTGAAACAGTTTTGTATAGTAGTCCAAACATCTCTAAGAGGTTAGGATGACTTTTGAGTCCTTAAAAGCTACATTTACAAATGAGGGGTGGCTCAGGATTTTATGGCACATTATGAAAGTCATCAAAATATAGTGTAATCTTACTTAATGCAGAATGCACAGAATTACATAATTTCCTCTAACAAAATGCCAATTCGGAGCTGGCAAAGCCTCTGGCTTGTCAGAAACACCTCACAATTTGACATCTGATTAGTAAACATTAAAACACATTCTGTCTCTGGCATCCTGGCTTCCTGTTGTTTTTTCAAAGTAACAACACTAACCCAGAAACCTAATTTCTGTGACTAGTTGAATGCTACTATCCCAGTTCTAGACACGAATGCGTCAACAGAGCAGACGTTTGGCTCAGAGTTACGGTTCAGCCTGCAAATGTGACTCATGAATGGACCCCAGATTTGAACTTCAAAGGTTTCCATGAAAGGTGAACACGCAAGCTGCAGAGGAAGCCTGTCAGATTTCACACAAAGTATTCAGAAGCAGATAAAATGGGAGAGCGTTTTTCAAACATCACTGCACCGATGGCCATAGCTTGATCCACATTGGATAATAACTTTAAAAAAAATTGACGAAATGTCAATATTCAGTGTACTGTGTTTAGAGAGTGAGTATAAATTAATAAAACAAGACAAACTCACCAGTCCTGCACAGCGCCAAAGGACTCTTCGTTGGTGATGTCGTACATGAGGATGAAGCCCATGGCACCACGGTAGTAAGCTGTAGTGATGGTCCTGTAGCGCTCCTGGCCTGCAGTGTCCTGCACACAGACATCATGATTTGGTGTCACTGACCCGACCCTGCACAGCTGAAGCTGCACACTCCGGACCGCAGTGTTCATGAGCCGGCGTTTACATTATTAATGCACTGCTATTAATACACACAAAAACCTCATCTGCTTGGTGTCATGGCTGCAATTTTCAAAGTTTCCTCTTCTTTTGTGCTCGTCATTCGGAACTAATCATTGTACTAGTAGCTGAACCGGCTTTGCAGCGATAGGGTGCCAGGAGCAACACCTCTGTTTTAGCTGATGAAATTGATTTAGTTCTTTCCACAATAGTCAGTCAGCGGTGTTCGGTGAGGCAAAGATCATCACACGCATGTCATCAAAAAAAGTTCCAAATATAGAAATAAGACCATTTCAATTTAAGAGAGTGTTTGTGTGCACACGGTGATCCATGTATCACAGTCAAAAGATGTTCAGGAGGCAAATGGAAATGCAAAAAGTGTATTTACAGTTGGGAGCCGATTACCAAATTTGTACAGTAGTTTTGTTGTTTTATGGGTTACATAATGAGAAATCCCTCCTGTTCCTCATGCTGATACTGTATGTTTACAGCTTTGTTCTTACACCCACAACAAGTGTGTTTGCATGCTGTCTGTGAATCATGGCAGAGGAATACTGGCTGCTCCACTTGGCTCTTGACGAACAGACGGCAAACAGGGAGCTCTGGATTGTGTTTGCCATGGTAATCTGGCGTTCTGTTCGCCTGCACACCATCACAACAGCGGGCCTGTTATAGCCAGAGGACACATCTGACCTTCACTCTGCAGAGACGCTGCTCACAGCCGGTCAGCTCTGTTTCCAGGTCCCTCGCTGCAGCTGGGACTCTCTGTCAGATTATGCAGAGACCGAAACCAGCACCAGCCTGTAATGTTCACTAATGTTCTGTACAACAAACAGTGACTTGAAAGATAACTTTTTCTCTTTAAGTCGAGTCATTATCACAAACGTGAATGTATTTGGACATACAAAAATAATTGCTAAGAGGGGGAATTGGTTCTAAAAGAAGTTCGGGGGAGGGGGATCAGAAAATCATTGAAAAGTAAAAACTCACATTTTAAATGACTTGTAGATGTAATTCAACTTCAACAATGTATTGAGTTAGGGGTACTAAGTAAAAACTGAATGTCACACAAAAAATGTTGAAAACGATATAACCTTTTCGTTCCACTTTACGATTATTAATTACTTTGAGTTGGTCATTGCGCATAAACCAGGTCATGCTTTAGTCATCTGCACATTTTACCCCAGTTTGTGTTCCTGTCTGAAATTTGCATCTTTGAGATTTTTGTTGGAAACTTAAAAATGGCCCAATAGCTTTAAGTGTTTTTCTTTCACTGGACGTAGTTAAAAAAATAGAGTGGAACAGAAAAAAAATAAAATCTGCTTAAGTCCGTGGAATTTGAGCACTTTAAAAAGCCTTGCTTGTCGTCTGGTGCTCAGCAGAAATCAATCAAAGTGGCTGACTTCCACAAGGCAGCAAGCAGAAACATGCTGTGTGCAAAAGCCTTCTTGTTCTGCATGTGTCCATTTTTTTGTGAATCGTGCCATCAGTCGGTCTCATTCAGCACAGTCTCACACATTTGCAGCGAGAAGTCCAAATGTATTATGACGTGTGACAAGTGCAAAGACTTTAGCCAATACACATCACCTTAAAAGGTCCCTTTACTTTATGTCTCAGCTCTTTTTAGGCCAATTAAAAGAGACAGGCCAATTATCTGGATGCAAGGGCAATCCTTTTTTCTCCCAGGATATGCTTGTCTTTGCTGCTGATGAAAACACATTATCCCGATTAGCTTTCATCTTCCTGTTCAAACAAAATTGTTCACTTTCTGAGGATGGATAATTGCTGCAGAGGGTGCCTACTGCTCCCCAAAACGGGCAAAGCCTCCACATGGAAAAAGGAAAAGAGAGAGACAGGAAATCTTTCGGATTTTTTTTTTTTTTTTACGTTTACAGTCTGTGAGGTAAAAAGAGAAAATCTGCTTTTGCACCTCAGATAAACTCCTAATTAAACACATTCCAATTCTTCAGTTTCCCACACGTTCCGAGCGAGGTGTCGCTTCTGCGTTCCTCCCTGCAATGTGCCACGTTAGCACTTACTAGTCTGCTGTCAGTAATGCTGAGATTTCCATCTGTCTACACACTTGGATCAGTGTTAGAAAGCACAACAAAGCCGTTTGTTGAATACACTTTAAGGAAATGCATCATGCTCTATGTCAGCTGTATGCATGAATTTATAGAACACTAGGGATCATGACACTTATTTGAGCTTTTACTACAACGTTTTTATCCGGGCATTATAGTTTCTTATCTTAGTCCTATGTTTATCAATTAGTAGATTATTCATTAAAAAAAACATGCAAAATGCAAATCCTGTTGTCAAAAGCTGCAAGGCTGAGATTTTTCTCTGTATGTAAGTAATCTCTATTTGCCCTACAAACCAAAACGCTGACTCGCACTGTCCAGATGTACTTTTCTTATTTCTCATTGATGTATCAGGCATCTATGAAATATGCGGACAGAGAATGGGACAAACATGGATCAAATGGACTCTTGATATAGAACAACAACCTTTCTGTGATAGGAATCACATTGCAAGAGCAACCAAACAAAATCTAAGCTCTCCAAGAGACCTTGGAGGCCACCGGGATACAAATTACACTGAATCTAAAAATACCAGATTAAAAATGAGACTGAGATAAATTATTGAAAAAATGTTTCCGCTTTGGAAGGAGTGTGTCTCCTCTACGATTCAGCTGATTAACCCTGTTGAAGCAAAAAATCTCAAACAAAACAGATGCAAAGGCCTGGTTGCATCATGTGCACAACCTAAAATTGATACTTTGCCAAAGAATAGTTTTTACTGTTAGGTTTTTTTAGTAGGATCCTGTCAGGATCCCATATATTGCCTTGGCAATATGTTCTCACTGTACCTTACACACATAGTCTGAATAAATTCAGCTGTAAGGATAATTCCTGTCTGCAGATTTATTCTGATGAACACCCAGTTCGGGTATCCTTCCAGTGACACCATGCTTTTGTTTTTTTGAATATAAGGAGGGCTCCCTGTGATGCTGGAATTTAAATCCCACTTCATCCTCAGCCCTCTATCTGACACCTGAAGGCTTTGGGTCGGAAATGACTGTTTATAACTGCATCCCCTTTAACAAAATCCAAAATCATATCTAGTAGCCCCTTTCAGCCTCCACGACCAATTTATTATTTTCTTTCCATCAGATTTGAAAAAAATCCAGCTTTCTAACTGGCTCTCTTGTTGCATAATTTTGTCCTATTAATGATGACAATCTTCACCATGCCATAATATGTATGTATGAATCTACTGATGTTTCTGTGCACTTCTCTGGTGTAATATATTTGTGCAAGAGCTTGTTTTGATCCGCCACAACTTCTGTGGAAGTTCTGCCATCCCAAAAGATTAATATAAGCAATTTATTTTTAAATATATGCTTAGTCAGATGCATTTTTGACATGTAAGTAGGAAATCCAGAATATTAAAAGCTGAAATACAATCTAAGGTGTCTCAACAAAGGATTGCTTTACTTTGATTTGATCAGTTGAACTGCACAGCAAACATATGGAGATTAAAAGTCTTGAAAATCAAAAGAAAAACTTGCTTGTTTAAGAGGTGTCTACACCTTTTTTAGCCACCTTCAACACAGATCTTTATAAAATTACATCTAATAAACAATCCCAAATGGAATTATTACATAGTAAAATTGAAACAGGAATTTGCTTGGATAAAATAAAATGTGTGTCTATTGAAAAAGAGATGTGAACACATCCAGAACTTGGCTTTGTGGTCAGCTACTGCAGGCCAGGCAGAAATCAGCCACAAGACATTTTGTGGCTTCTGAAAGTTTAATGTCAGTGTTCATGAATATTTCATACCCAGATCTGCAGTTTGATCCTCTTGTCATTCTTGTAAACGGTCTTAACTTTGAAGTCGATGCCCACTGTGCTGACGAAGGCCGACGTGAAGGCGTCATCAGCATAGCGGAACAGGAAGGACGTCTTCCCTACGCTGCTGTTGCCGATGATGAGCAGCTTGAACATGTAGTCGAAATTTTGGTCTCCTCCTTCTCCTTTCCCCTTGACATCCTGAGTGGCAGCCATCTGCCAAAACAAAAGCAATCATGAAAACTTCATACACTGTACATGTGAACACATTTTTTTTTAAAATAATTTGCTGGCAAGTCATTAAAGCAACAATAACCAGTTTGTATGCACTTGCAGGAAAGGTGAGGGGGCGACTGTAAAATCTACATATTGGTTGCAGAGTACAGTAAGCTTGTTTTACAGGATACAGATAAGAGATGACAGAAGGCTGCGTCAGGAAAACCAGCATGACCAGCACAGCAAGCTGTTGGTTTAATGAGTATTAGATAACAAGCTGAGTTCCAGAAAATCTCTATAAATAAACCAGTAGTCTTTATTTATATTAATACTAAAAGGGCAACATTTGGCTCATAATATAATTAATTTTTCAGAGTACTGGAAATTGGATATTAAAATGATGTAAATTTTACTCAAGGACATAAGCTTCTTCAAAACGGAGTGAATTAAAATGTTATATTCTTTATCTGGACAAATATCAATATTTTTTATTGTGAAAGATTTTGTTTTTCAGTAACTTTGAATTTCTATTTTGCATCTAAGTCAAATTCAAACTAAGTCTTAACTCTGAGGTACCCATTGCTAATTAATCTTAGCTACAATGTGCTAGGAGAAGGTTAAAAATGCCACCTCAGTAAAACAGATTTTGAAATTTTTGCATCCAACTTTAGTTAGTTTAGCAGTAGTGCTAATGCTGAAATCTGCTAGCAAGCTGAGTAAATTAATCATGAGAAAGCTTCTTCCAATAAACGACACATTTCAGGTTTTCAAACAATGATGAACTAAATCCTATTTTGTACCCTGGAGGACAAACCTGATGAGCAAAAATTGAAGCAGGATTTACCTGGAGCAGATTTTAGAAGCTAGCAGGCAGCTGAGTAAATGATTTTAGCTGTTAAATATGATTAATTTCTAATCTGTGGCAACATAAGCGAAATGACAGAGAAGTTGTTCAGCAGAGAAAACAGCAACACACTTAACAATGGTCTCTCCTGAAAAAAATAAAAATAAAATTCCGCTGATACTTTTATTTCTCAGATTTTCTCAACCAAGATAAGACAACTACTTCTGATTATAACTTCACCTGAAAAAAAATGGACTTTGCCTTTAAACTCATGAAAAATGATTAAAATCTAACCCATTTAAATTGAATATGTCGCTTTGAATCTACTTGTTTACAATTGTACACAGAGTACTGAAAGCTCACACTCTGACATAAGCTTTTCCATGCCAGCAGTCAGCAGTCAGCCACCTCAGAGGATGCACGTTGCACTGGGGAGATGACAGGAGAGCGGTCATCGCTCCCTCCAAGGTGAATGTTTGGACCGGGCAGCTTCCGTCCCTAAACATGTGCGACCATCTCTCCCTGCAGCTTTTGCGCTGAATAAAAGATGCCGGACCTCCATCATGCCAGTCCTGCACTCGCTTTCTATTCGCCTCCGTGTGTGCGCGTGTGTCTGTGTTTGCAAGGACACCGTTTTCACGCCATAATAAGCCGGTTATGCAAAAAAATAAAAAAATAAATAAATAAATAAAAATAATAATAATAATCAAGCGCTGCTGAGCAAAGAAGCCGCATGCCAGATAACTACATAGACTGGCTGTTCTGAGCAGGAGGATGTCATTCTACCGTTTCACAAAAATTCTTCCACATATGTGAAACTAAAAGGACATTGTGTGGACAAACCTGTTTCGAAGGCCTCGTTTCGACCTGTATTTGCCCCTGATAAGCAGGATAGAGGTTTATTTCTCTGAATCTATACCGCAGACGCTGATTTTATGGTATTTTTCTCCCCCTCTCTCTCTGTCTCCGAACCAGTTTCAGCACCTGGGAGCTGTCCCCTCCGCTTCCGATCTGGAGGCTGCTGCTGCTACTGCTGCTGATGATGATGGTGGTGGTGATGATGATGATGATGATGATGCTGGCTTGGCTGAGCGAAAGGAAGCGCGTGTCATGGGTATCGGCTACGTCACGGGAACAAAGAACACTGGTCTTGTAGTTTTTTTTTAGTTTTTTTTTTACACAGTTTGTAAAGCGCATGGAGGCAGCAGCCCCTGCGTGGAGCGCCTCAAAGCTGTGAACAGCTGGATGAAACGCTGCTTCAGATTTCAGTTTATCTGAGACACACCCTCTTATGGTATAAAAAAAAAAAAAAAAAAAAAGCCCTGTCTAATAGTTTTCCACATTCTTAGTTTCTAGTTACATGCATTTAACAACCTTACCTTCCCATACAAGTCCATTTGATCCTCAGTAGCCTAATATTCCACCTGTATATCTTTTATTTTTTCACCCCCAGTTAACATCAACTCCAACCTGGCCAGGATTTTAGCCCCTCTTCCCCCCTTTTTGCTTCCAGGAAGCAAAATATAATAGGCTCTCGCTTTTTGCGTCACTCTCCCTGTTTTGCTGGCGTGCCCACGCCCCTGAAGCAGGCAGCGCCGCTTCAGAGGGACGGAGAAAATAAGAGCGACCTGAGTGCTGATGAATATTAATATTGTTGGCTCCACAATGGAGGCAGGCGGTAGAGCTTCCGAGATAAATAAATGTCCATGTTTTGCAATTAAAATTAGATTTTAGGGTTTTGTATGTAGATTAGAAAATGGGAATATAAAACCAATGCTGTGATTTAATAACAACATAATGAACGTGCATTGATGCACACACCTGATTTACACTACGTGGACTTTAATGATCTTAAGAATCACAGTACATCAGATATTACGTAACTGCAGACTGGGGATTAAATATACACTTCATTTTGCCAGGCAGAGAGAGCATCCGTTACTTGGCAGAGAACTGATAGGGCCTGTTAGTTGTCACAGGGCGGGGTTATTGTGACTGACTGGCCTTTGGACGACCCGTGTGAGGCAGGCAGTAGACTGTGAAGCGTCAGAAAGAGGGGCGGGGCAGGTAGGCAGCTCAGACATGTGTGTTCACAATTTCATGCACTTTATGCTGTGTTTTACAAAAATCCCCTTACTTAGAAGAGTGCTTCTGTGTGCATCCTGCACTGCTATTGCATGTAGCACTTCTTTAGCTTATTCCGCATCGATCGGCTACCTCTAACCTAAACGTTTCACTTTGTTTACAAGCTACTTCAGCGAAAGTCCGACCATGTAGCTCTATTTTTCGCTAAGAGGTAACATATATACGAGGATAAGAGCCGATATTTTATATTACTTTTAATCCAAAGCGTTTAAGCCAAACTTTTCTAGAAGGTTTCTATGGGAACCAAAGGTCGCCGTAGCTCCATCTGCCGTTAGCAACTGCTCTGTACGTTGTTTTCTGTGGACACGCCAATAAAACAAAAATAAACAGTAAATACAGTTCATTGTCATTCTTTTCTTAGGAATTTTTTTTTCTTACATTAAAATCAAAATATTCAAAGTGTTTTTTTGTGTGTGTGTGACAGGAGTTGTGACAAACTGTAGAGATAAATCTTAAAACTATGGCGTGCATTCCCCTTTCTACTATCACTTAGAATGCCATTAAACCAACTTTATAGGCCATTTTTGGAGTAAATAGAGTTTCAAGGATGTGTAATTAATCCACAGCGTAAATGCAGAGGTTTGTTAGAGAACATTACAGAACTGAAAGTATCAAGAAGACCAACGAAGGCATCAGGGGACATGGTTGTGGAAAATGTTTAAAGTAGGACGCGATTATAAAAATAAATAAATAAAGCAATAAAGCATTCACATTATTTGACAGCATCAACGTTGGGTTCATCTTATAATTGCTTTTCTCTAATGTTTGAAGAACCTTAGGTAACAATGACAGCATCTACTGTTGAAAGCCTTCTTTGTATGTTGTTCAGCACTTCTCTTCTATTGACAAAACTCTTTTTGGCCCGCAGGAGTAATCTTTTCAATGACATTTCCTCTCTTCAGAAATGTTCAATAGGATCTGGGTCAACCCTCAATTGCAGCCAATTTGAGTTAACACTCTTCCCTTTTTCCATTCATTCTGCGCCGGATGTTTTTTCCAGTTTATTTTCCTTAAAAGAACTAAGTCTGTTAACTCACACTGGGGGACTTAACAGACTCCCCCAGTTACAGACTTAACTGGTAAGTCTGTAACTGGTACAGACTTACCAGTTACAGACTGGTAAGTCAGTTACAGACTGGTAAGTCTGTAACTGTAATTATTAATTTTGCACCAACAACCAAAAAGTAACATCTTTTATTCAATGTTATCCCAGTTATTTTGAAATCTCAAATTTTCTCTGAAATTCAGTGGCTTCATTTCCAGAGCCAGTAAGACAGGCTGACACTGTCCTAATAGGTTCATGTTTTACATATACAGTGTGTTTTAAAAAGCCTGGTCACACATTTTTTCCAACCAAAAAATATAAATAAACATCTGAATTAATCACATATATAAAATTTGGATGAGTTTGGACAAGTTTAAGTATTAAAAATATATATTTGCCATATTATGAGCTCTATGTCGAAAGCACTTGCTGCTATGTTTGGGTGGTGATGTTATGTTTTTAATTTTTAATTCCTCCATTTCTGTTTAACCACTCAAAACATTTGCTAATCACATCAATAAGCGATAAGATTGTATTAAGTTGCTGAAAATTATTTGTGTTACTTTTTGTTTTAAAGTCCCCGAATCGAAAAAGAAGAAAGTGCAGATGACCTTCATTTTTGAAAATATTATTTATTTTGCTAATTTAATCAAAACAAAGAAGTCGAAGCCTTTTTGGCTGCTGTTATTCTTATGAAACTCTATTGTTGCAATAATTCTTTAAGTATAGAAGACATTTTTGTTTATTTTCTGTACAGGTGTTCACACTGTTTTTGCAATGGAGGACTCAATCGAGCTGATCATTGAGGACTACGGTGGGGTCTTTCCCACCAGCAGACCCCATCCCATCGTGTCGGCCTGCACAGGCGCCATGCTCACAGGTCTTTATGGATTATGGAGCGTTTTCACTATGCCTGGCTTCCGCAAAATCCCACGGCATCTTAAGGTACAAAATATTGCTTCTTTTATTTTTTTTTTCCTTTTGCCTTGTGTGTATTTTCCCCTTAAATCTATTAAATATCGCATGCTTGAAATAATAATTATAATAATAAAAACAATTAAACAGATACGCAATTTGAGTTGTTGATTAACAATAATTTGCTTATTTTGGAGCATAGTGCTCCATGCCAGCATCAAATGTGGGAAAAGAAGAAACTGGTAAGTCTGTAACTGTAATTATTAATTTTGCACCAACAACCAAAAAAGTTAATCTGAAATTAATTTATGGCTTTTGTTTTCAAAGGTAAATGGGTAACACTTTATTTGAATGGGTGTGCATAAGACAGACATGACACTGTCATAAACATGACATAACTTCTGTCATGAACATAAAGAAATCTTTATGAATGTTTATGACAGTTGACATGAAGTGTCATTCGGTAAATAATGACACTTTTAATGAAAAGTTGCTCTAAAAGTTGCATTAAAAGTCCATTAAAAGTGACAACTTTGCATGATTTTGTAAATTATGATAATTCAATGCAAAGTTGGCATTTTTAATGGACTTTTAATGCAACTTTTAGAGCAATTTTGCATTAAAAGTGTCATTATTTACCAAATGACACTTCATGACAACTGTCATAAACATCCATAAAGACTTCTTTATGTTCATAACAGATGTTATGTCATGTTTATGACAGTGTCATGTCTGTCTGATGCACACCCCTTCAAATAAAGTGTTAACGGTAAATTTTATAACATTTTGTTATATTTAAATTTGTTACTTATGCAACACTCACTTGATTTTTACATTACCAGCTATCTTGCCTAAAGAATTTGCTTATCTACCTTTACACACACACATGACCTTGATGGACATCATATTCTCAGTCCATAGGGTTCAACATGATTTTGACTCACCCTTTTGCAGCTTCCGTTCTTCTGGGAAGTCTTCCCACATGGTTTAGAAATGTGAGGTCAGACACTCATAATGATGAGCTTTATGATTTTAAGTGATCTTGTTACTACTTACTACATTGGGGTTTTTAATCACTTTGACTTTGTTATATTACCATAATATTTAGTACATTTAATAGTGAGGAATTCACTGAGTGTCCGTTCTTTAACAAATCTTTGTAGTTGCATAAGTTCACTCATGCTTTTCAGGATTCTAACCGGGCAACGATGGGTCCTCGACCACTTGCTCTACCACTATGAGCCGGTGCCACTCCTCTTTTGAAAATATAGAGTAAGACAGTGTGTTAAAAAAAAATAAAGACAACAAAAAGAGACCTGAATTGTTTCCAGTGACAGATTAAACTGAGTTTAATCAGGTAAAAGCTAAAGAGAATTCATCTGAAGATTTGCTATGTTATTTTACAAACATACAAAAGTCAGTCAAGGTTGTTAACAACACATTGAGAGCTCACTGAAAGCAGAAATATTTTTAATATGAAGCATTTTCAGTAAGTAAACAAAAAAAATGAAATTTGTGTTTCACACTGGGATGATTTAAATTGCAACACTTAAGCTCTGTAGAGCTTATTTACCATAGTGCGACAATAGAATTGTATGTTCTTACTTGTTCTCACCACTGGAAAAGCAATTTACAGTAATTACGGCTCAGGCAGGCAATGTTGACTCACCACACGCTGTGTCCACTGTGGCTCAGGTCCCATATTTGCCCTCCAGTAAAGACCAAACACAGAACGTTATGAAGCTGCTCCAGGGGAGAAGAGGTCGCTTAGCAGATCTTGGAGCTGGAGATGGAAGATTGGTGAGTGAAGAGAGGCTCTCTGAAACAAGTTTATCAAAATGTGCAATGGCAACAGAATAGGCACTTTCCTTGTTGCCTTGTTTGCTGTGGTTGAATTTTACACAATGCTGTGCTATTTCCAGGTATTTGCAGCCTCTTCCGCTGGTTTTCAGTGCACAGGGTTTGAGATCAACTCAATTCTAGTGGCTTATGCAAGGAGCAAAGCCTATTGGAGAAGAATCCCCTCCAGCCAAGTAACCTTTGTTAAGAAGGACTTCTGGAAGGTACGGCTTGGACAAAAACAGTCTTCTTGTGCCTTTCAAAAGTAGCCATCAAAATACCTGAGAAACAGTTAAGAGGCCAATGGTAACTCTGGAGGAGCTGCAGAGATCCACAGCTACAGTGGGAGTATCTATTGAGAGGACAACTGTTAAGCTCTCCATACATGTAGCCTCTACGGAGGATTGCTAAAAAAAAACTCATTGTTGATGGACAGCAGGAAGAAGTCCTATTTAAAGTTTGTCCACATGTCCTGGAGAAGTCCCAGAAAACATGTGAAAGGAGGTGTTTTGGTCAAATAAGATCAAACTGTACTTTTTTTTTTTTTAAACTTGCAATAAACTTAGTAGAGGAAAACTATCTCTGCACATCACCCTGAACATACCGGTCCTCTCAGTGAAACATGCTGATGGCAGCATCACACTGTCAGGGACATGAGAGCTGATACAGGGTCTATAAAAAGTATTCGCCAGCTTGGATGTTTTACCCTTTTTATTGCTTTTACAAATCAATCGTGATTTTAGCTGTAATCACAGCATGGAGTTTGTGTGGACAGGTCTCGGGTCTTTGGCGAATGCTATTATAGGTAGATTGGCTCATGTGCACCATGTAGTACTTTTCTTTCATTTTAAAATTATGCCCAACCTTGATTTGGTCTCTCACTAAAATTCAAATAAAATCTATTAAACTTTGTGGTTGTAATATTCCTAAATGTGACAAAATAATTTAGAAAGTCACAATATGTGATCAAAGTCCTAAGTGTCTTGATCTTTCGTCTTAGGCCGATTTGTCTTTGTACAACAATGTGACAGCCTTCCTTGTTCCAGGAGTGGTAAGCCATTTTTCTACTGAAAATGTTCTCTTTACTTTATTTTTGCTACGATGTCATTGTATCGTTATTGTATTCCTGTGACTGTTAACAGATCGAAGTGCTGGGAGAGAAGCTACTGAAGGAGCTTCCTCAAGATGCGCTGGTCATTTCTTGCCGTTTTCCTTTCCCTAACTGGCCCCAAAAGTCAGCTGCCGGCTCTGGACTTGACCAGACGTTTGCTTATGAGATCAACTCTGTGCGCTCACACTTGAGAAAGACGGAGATGAAATGGGTTGAATACTGTGGCTGACATTTAGTCAGTGTTTTTTGTTGTTCTTGTTGTTTTTTAATGAAGAATGCTGAATATTATGATTTATTTGTTGTTCAGTTTCTCATAAAAGATTTAACTTATTTTACTCTGTTGATGATTTGTGAAAATCTGGAAAGATCTTTTTTACATTAGATAACACTTTTAACTAATTTGAAAATTATAAGTTTTGCACAGGCAACGCTGATTATCTGTGCACCACACTGTCTAAATATTAATAAAACAAGTTCATAAATGTCAATAAGGCTTGAATTTGTTCTATCTCTAAGATTATCAGAAGACATTTGCAATCGCCTTATGTCATTAAATGTCAAGAGTTAGACATTTTTCTGTAAATTGCGTTAACGGTGGAAGCGGGGTCTGTTGGAGTCAAGTCATGGACTCCACTCCCCTTAATCCGTGCTAACATATTAGCAGCAGATCCTTCAAGCCTTGTATATTTCATGGAGGTGAGGCCTCCATGATTCTCACTTGTTTGCGAAGCACATCCCACAGATTCTTTACTAAGATCTTGGGAGAATTGTGAGGCCAAGTCAACATCTTAACTATGTTATTGTGTTGCTCAAACTATTCCTGAACCATTTTATCTTATTGGAAGAGGCTCCAGCTATCCACTGTGCCATAGGGAAGTTGGTAGCTGTCAAACTAACATCTATGTGGATGGTAGGATCTTGGGTATCCCTGCTGATCATTACCCAAATCAAAACTCTACAACCTGTGGCTTACCTTCTTTCCATACTGTATCGAGGTGGTTTGTGACACACACAACAGCTGTTAATTTACAAATCACCTTATTCTGTTGCTCCATAGTCCAGTTCTGATGTCCACATTATTGCCGTCTTTAACAGTGAACATGGGTTAGCTGACTGCTCTGTCCATGCAAGAAACTACATTAATATATCCTGGCACCTTTTTGTCAGAATCTGCATCAGCCTCTGCAGCAGTTGTCTGGCTGACTGATGGATCAAGATTGTCTCTTCCTTAGACCACTTTTGATAGATGAAGAACACTGTAAGCACCTCTTCAGATCTGCAGTTTTGGGTATGTACATGTGAAATATGCTCAAACTCTTTCTCTTGGGCATTTTTCCTACTTCTAACACATTCATTTTGAAGACAACAGGTTCTCTAGCTTAATATATCCCACCCAGACAGTGAGAGTCATGTACTTCACCTGTCTATAGTCATACATCTGATTTGTGTATCATGCCGACACATTTTTCCACCCTGACTCAAAAATATCCACCTGAGGGCGCTATAACTCTAAACTGGCCTTGGTACTCCACAGCCTAAAACCAGGCTGCACCGAATGCAGATTGGTTTTGTCGTGTGCCGTGCATACTTTTTGGATTAGACCCACGGATTAAATGTCCTTGTTTTTTTGTTTTTTTTTGTTTGTTTGTTTGTTTGTTTGTTTGTTTTTTGTTTTGTTTTGTTTGTTTTTTTTTACCATGATATGTGATCTTAACATTTTACTTTTCTGTTTCCGTGAACAAATCTTTTTTTTTCATTTTTTTTTCTTTTTTCCATTGATCAGTGTTTAAATGTATGCACGAATGCGTGAATGACTGAACGTAGTGTAAAGCGCTTTGGGGTCCTCTGGACTTGATAAATCGCAATGTAATAAATGCCATTTACCATTTTCCCATTGCTAATAAATAATTGGGGTCATAACATAGCAAATAAAATAAATCAATCAAAACACTGCGTTTTATTAAATTCGTATTTTACATTTGTGTCACCATCAACGGGCAGTCTCTCTGTCTGGTATAGGTGATCGATAACAGTCAGACCTGCTCCCGTTTCCTACAATGACGTTAGGAAGGGAGAGAGAGAGAGAAAGAGAGAGAGAGAGAGAGAGAGAGAGAGAGAGAGAGAGAGAGAGTGTGCATAAGAGAGAAAGAGGGAGGGAGTTGGGTAGGTGATGAGGGAGGAGAAGGGAGACGGGGAGCGCACAAGGAGGGAGGGAGAGCGGGTATAAAAGCTTCCAGAGCGCCTCTCTGGGATGCATTCTGTATGCGGGAAGAGAACCAGTTCTCCAATGGAAGTACATAAAAGCACCGTCCTCCAACAGACTAACAGCAGCATGTGCGAATCAACGCAGAGGTCCTGCGAGCCTCGGCGGAAGAGAACGGAGGAGCGCAGCGCTCCGTCAGAGATGGCTAGGATCATCACCGACCCGGCCACGGGGAAGTGCTACTGCCGGGGGAAAGTTTTGGGAAAGGTAGCGCACAGCTCAGCATCTGCCCTCGACTCGTTGGAATTTACTTCTCACCCCGACGGCACGGTGTTTTAACAATGTTGTTTCCCCTCTTTCATCCAGGGAGGATTTGCTAAATGTTATGAGATGACGGACCTCTCCACCGGCAAAGTTTACGCAGCAAAGATTATCCCACATGCGCGCGTCTCCAAGCCTCACCAGCGGGAGAAGGTAAGCGCGCTGCTGCGGTGCCTGTGCGCACTCACGGGTATGTTGTCGCTCAAAATGTCTTTGGTTGCAGACGTGACCGTGTTGTCCTTTCTCTGTGTGCAGATCGACCGAGAAATTGAGCTGCACAGAGTCCTGCACCACAAAAATATCGTGCATTTTTATCACCATTTTGAGGACAAAGAGAACATCTACATCTTGCTAGAATACTGCAGTCGAAAAGTGAGTGCAATTATAAGAAAGATAAAGAAGACATTGCATAGAAAGTAAATATATTACCAGTTATCTGTATTTAATTATGCACTATATAACAATCTTCGACTTCTTAATGAAGCTCACAGAGTTGCATTTATGATGGAGCATGTCAATGTAGGATTTCTTAAAGTAGATGTATATATTTAAATATTTTCTATTTTGTCTTTCCATAGTCCCTGGCCCACATTCTGAAGGCGCGCAAAGTGCTTACCGAGCCAGAAGTGCGGTATTACCTGAGACAGATTGTTTCTGGACTAAAGTATCTGCATGAACAAGAAATTCTTCACAGGGACCTTAAATTGGGTAAGAAATTTTTATCCACAAAAGTTTCACAGCAGTTTTTTTTTGTTGTTGTTTTGTTTTGTTTTTTTGCAAAATTTTGCAAATCTGTACATGTATATGTGATTTATTGTAACCAAACTCTTCAAATCCATAATAATTGTGTAGTACCATGCCTTTGATCTTGGGTTGGACTTAGCAAGTATTCATATTTCCACTGTCTTTCTTCCCCCAAAGGGAACTTTTTTGTTAGCGAGTCGATGGAACTGAAGGTCGGAGACTTTGGTCTCGCTGCCAAGTTGGAGCCGGCGGGAAACAGGAGGAAGACGATCTGCGGGACTCCAAACTACTTGTCCCCTGAGGTCCTCAACAAGCAGGGTCACGGCTGTGAATCGGATATCTGGGCTCTGGGCTGTGTAATGTGAGTTGGGTTCCTATTATTCCACTGTTAGGGACTGGAAAAAGCTCCAGCAAAATTTGTCAACATCATAAATTACAAGTGAATACCGCTTGAAGACAGAAGATATGTTTTCTAAACCGTATACTCATGCAATCGCTTGGATTCTGTTTCAGGTACACTATGCTGTTGGGCCGACCTCCATTTGAAACCACCAACCTGAAGGAGACCTACCGGTGTATAAGAGAAGCACGGTACTCGCTCCCTTCCTCGTTGTCACCGCAGGCGAAGCAGCTCATTGCCAATCTGCTGGCCAAGATTCCAGAAGATAGACCCGATCTAGAGCATATTCTGAGGCACGACTTCTTCACCCAGGTTAGACCTCTGTTCGGCTTGCTCTGGCTTTCAGTCTGCAAATGTCACTTTGTGGAAGTTCAGAGATGACTCTTCTGCCCCTGTAATTATCTGTCCACACACTGACCCACTTTCCCCATTCCTCCACAGGGCTTTAGTCCAGAGCGTCTGTCGCCTAGCTGCTGCCATTCACCACCAGACTTTCACGTCTCCAGCCCTGCAAAGAGCTTCTTTAAGAAAGCTGCTGCTGCACTGTTTGGTGGGAAGAGAGATAAGGTCAAATACTACGAGACCCTCAGTGAGTATAGTAATAATAATAATAAAAAAAATACTACTTAGTTGACTCAGATGATGCCTGCATGAAACCTTCTAAGAGTCAGTTTGTGCAGCTTCAAGGATTAATGTTTGCTGTTTTCTTGCAGACAAGTTAACTAAGGAGGAGGAGGAGATCTACAAACTGCAGCACGACTTGGAGAGGACGGTCATCAGTCAACAGCAGAGCAAAAAGATGTCTGAGGTAAGAAAGCAACAGCCCAGTATTTACAAGGGCGTGGGTAGGCTACTTTTGCAGGTGCATTAGTCACACAGCAGTTAAAACTTGTGTGGATTTGAGATACCCCTCTGTGGAGAATCCAATGAATCACCCTTTGTAGTTGCAGCAAAACTTTCTAACAAGCACAGTTTCTGAACTAGCTGAAAGCACTTTAATCTCAACCTTTAAAGCCAGGCACTTTGAAATCTGTGGGTGACCACTGAGTCAGAGTAGGAAGAGATGATCTAAACTCGCAGAATCTAAGCCTTGTCGTCATTCCCACCTCAGAATGGAAGTCTACTTCCGCCATCTGCCGGGAGCCCCGTTGCCTTGGCAACAGAGAGTCAGTCGCCAGCAACGCAAGACACCATTCGTCTGATCGTCAGGGGGAGTCTGGGCAGCTGTAGCAGCAGCAGTGAATGTAAGTTACATCATGAGTGAAAAGATTATGTGTAATAAATCTTGAGTGTATGCGGGGATTTTTTTGTGTTTTTTTACCTCTGATCCATATAAATGGTTCTCTGTCTTTGTTTCCAAAGGTCTTGAAGACAATACAACAGGGAGCGTGGCTGAGACTGTTGCCAGTGTGTTAAGAGGATGCCTAGAAAATATGCCTAAAGGTGAGTAAACTACTGAGTAACTGAAACCTTAGTCCTTTAGCTTTTCCCTTGTGTACTTTCATGCTTCAGACTTGCCCAAAATCTTTCATGTACTTGTATTCTGATACTGACTTTTCCTCTCTCCTTGCAGCAAACGACACTCCTCAGACGTTAAACAGCTGCAGTCTTCAGTGGGTCACCAAATGGGTGGACTACTCCAATAAGTACGGCTTCGGCTACCAGTTGTCCGATCACACCGTTGGCGTCCTCTTCAACAATGGCACCCACATGAGCCTCCTGCCTGATAGAAAGTACGCAGTAGTCTATGCTTTCATAACGCCTATACTTTGTTGTTAAAGCTGTTGGCTTGGTGATACAGTCAGATTTACAAAAGG